CGTCGTCGTGGAGGAAATCGGGCTGCACATCGAGCCGCATCGCCCATGCATCGGCGATGCGGCGCGATCCTCCGACCCCATCTACTCGGAGGCCTAGACAATTGCAGTCGGACTTTATCGGAGAGGACACGCGGGAGGACACAAGACCCTTCTGAGGGCCACGGCGCCAGAGGAGTGTAAGAGGGCACGTGTCGCGAGGCACGGGGCACGAGGGTACCCTTGAGCTGGCAGGGTCGACCTGCTCATCCGGGCCGACTGTGGGTAGGGGGGAGGGGGCGTGGACCTCGAGGCCCAGACCCGAAAATATGTTCACAATCTGTTGACAATTAGGGTGGTGGATGCCACGACAATGGACACTCTAACAATCCGATCAGGGAACTAAACATGTGTAAACCATGTTCTATACATGTGTAAAACATGTTCTAAGCATGTTCTATACATGTTGTGTTTAACATATTTGAAACATGTTTGAAACATTGTTAGACATCTGGAAATTATTTGGCAGCACGCTTCCTCTCCAAAACCAGGGAGGGGGGAGGGGGCATGGCGAAGGCCCGCGCCGATCGGCCAAAAACAGTGCATGAGGAAACGATCGTCAATCCACGCGCCGAAAACAAATTGGGGGAACGAGGAACGACAGAAACATCAAAGCTCGGAGGTCCGCGCGGATTTCTCGGATCCGCACTGGACCCCCCGCCCTGGCGCGCGGAGCGTGCCACGGCGGGGGGCCAGAGGCGCCGCCAGGGGGCTCCAGCGCCGATGGGAGAAATCCGCGCGGACCCGAGATTTTTTCAGTTTTGAGTCAGTATTCGTTCCCCTCGCAATCCATGTTACCGAATCCTCGCCCACTCGCCCCCCCCCCCCGGCGATGCTGCCGGAGAGGTGGCCCTGTGGCCTGGGGGGCGGCCCCGGCCTGCCCGGGGAAGGGCCGGGGTGGCCTCGAGAGCGCCCCATTCACATTCTCACCGTGCTAGCAGGGCGCCCCGCGGCCGAGGATTGTTCAACTCCTCCTCCTCCTCCTCCTCCTCCTCCTCCTCCTCCTCCTCCTCAACATCAACATCTTTTATTTTTGTTGTCGACTGCGTCCTCTTTGCTCACCGCAGCAGGCTTGCTACCAAAAACGGTAAACGCCTGCCAAGGCACCCTCGCTCGCAAGGCAGGGCTGCTCAGTGGTACTTGCCTCCGCCCCCCAGTGGAGTTTGCCTCCGCCCCCTGTGGTGGGGGTGGTTATGGCTTTGTTCAACATCAACAACTGAGACCGGCGAGGCTGGACGATGTATCATGAGAGGTCGGCCGGCGCTCCCCCTCCTCCTCCTCCTCCTCCTCCTCCTCCTCCTCCTCGTTCCTCCTCCTCCTGGACCCACGCCTGGGGTATGACCCTCTCAGGACTCTCTCCCACAGACTCGGTGCCTGTAGAGTCCGTGCATTCACACACTTAGCCACTTGGCCAGCAGGCTGGACTTCTTAACAGCGCCAGTTCCCACCGGAGACGCGCAGTGTGAAGAGGTGGAGGAGGAGGACAGACGCCACGATCATCCGATCCAGGTCCGCGCAGCGTCAAAAAAGAAGGATGATAAGCGGTCGGAGGAGTTGGAGGAGACCTTCAGGGCGCCCCTCACGAGGCCTCAGAGGGCACCAACCAAAAATGATACGACAATCTTGGGGGTCACCCTGGCCAAGGATCTCCTTTGGAACCTCCTTCTCCTCCTCCTCGGTCATCGCGTGACTGCAAGTTTCGCGTTCTATGGGGTAGAGATTCACGGGCTCGATCCCTTGGAACTTGACCAGGCAGAGTCGCATTCATCAGGGCTGCACGCAACCCATATCCAAAAGCCCTTCCTTGCACCTCTTGGACAAACCTCTGTGGAAACGAGCCGTGGTCCCGTTTCTGCAGTGGTCAACCCTGGTATGGACGAGCCACACGGATGCGCGGATGCAAAGAGAATTGTCTCTCGTAAAATTGTGCGGGCTCGTGGAAAGCCGCCAGGCTACCGAGCCAACGGAATCCGGCTCGAGGCCCACTTGGAGCAGTCCTCGCCGCCTGCCGTAACCACCGACACGGGAGAGACTCACAATATGACGGGCACCTCCCCTCGGGTTATCCAGAATCAGCCGAAAGACAGTTGGGATACAAACTGCTCAGATGAGATGTGGCAGCAACTGGGAATACCCGATGACGAGATCCTCGCTCCAGGAGTTGGTCGAAAAGGATTGCGCGCCAGGGGCACGACCCCCGCCAGAGAGAGCTCCTGCCCGCTGTTCTTTAACTCCGGGCGCGGCGCGCTGTCTCCCCTACCTCTGACGTCAATCCGTCGCCCTCCCCCTCCTCCCCACCAGCGTGCGGGTGGCATGCCTATAGAGGCAGCGTCAAGCATGCCCGTTGGGGTGGGGAGGTTGGGGAGGAAAAGTGGGAAGAGCACGAGGCCGGAGAACGAGCAAAGGCACAGCGTTGCCTAGAATCTTCCAGCCAGGCGGAGCAAGCGTGTTGAACTCTCCAGGGAAGCCAAGGGCTTCCCAGCAGAGACATCAGCGATGTACATGTACGCCAGCTTGCACAGGGACAAACCATCCCCCATCGCGCCTCCTTCCTATCTTTCTTCTGGTCCTTGTCCTCCTCCCTCATGTCTTCCCCTCTTCCTCCTCATCCTCCGTCTCCTCCTGATTCTCCCATACCCCATCGCGTGTCCTTCTCTTTCTCCGATTTCTCGTTCGCTATTGTCAGAACAGGTGCGATGCGACTGGGGCACAGAATCGAAGTCAGATCGAAATCGGAAAGAAAAATGCTAGAAGGCAGCTCACAGTGAATGGTTCGCGGGCAACCGTTCCTCCTCTTCCTCCTCTTGCTCCTCCTCCTCTTCCTTCTCCTTCTCCTCCACTGCGCCTGCTCCTCCTCTTCCTACTGTCCCCATTCGCCTCCTCCTCCTCCTCCTCCTCCTCCTCTCTCCTCCTCCAGCCCTTTTCGCTACGAGTAACAAAAAGACACCCCCTGTCGTGCCAACAGACGTGTCCGTAGTCCGCGCCAGGCGTTTCGCGCGAGACTTGTTCGCAATGAATCCCCTGCAGAACGTAAGAACATCCAGCAGTCACATGGATGAAGGGCTGGTGGCGTTCAACATAAGGCTCTCGCCCTGGCAACGCGGTCGTTTGTCCTTCAACAAGCTTGCATCAATTAGTGAGCGTTCTTTATTCGGCGTTCCGACACTGGGGTCTGGCTCCAGACCCCATGTTTGAACAGCTTCGCGGATTGAGGGCGAGTCGTTTCCAAGATTTGGCTCCCGCCTTCGCGCCACGCATATTCGTTGACACAGAATTGAAAAAAGCTTCACGGATTGAGGACGGGTCGTTTTCAACATGTAGCCCACCGAAAAAATCGTTGTACATTCTACAAAATCTTCACTGGTTGAGGGCAAATCGTTTACACACATGTGGCTGTCACCTTTGCGCCGTGTGCATTCGTAAAACAAGTGCAGGAGTTTCACATATTGAAGGCGGCCGTTTTCAAAACGTGGCTCTCGCCTGACGCCGCGCACATTCAGTTTAAACATGTGCAAGAGTTTCACAGAGAGGGCGGTTCGTTTCTAACATGTGACTCTTGCGCCGCGCACACTAGTTTTACAATCTGCACGGGTTTGAACGATTCAGGATTGTCCGGACGCAACAGTCACTTTTATTCAGGGTGTTAAATTCCCGGGGCTGGCGTTCTGGCACGATTCAGGATCATCAAGACGCAACAGTCAGATAACTCGTGGCGGTGAGTTCCTGAGAATGGTGAATTGGCATGCTTCAGGTTTTTCACGCGATTGCCCCCCCAACGGGGCAATGCCATATGCAATTGGTGGAAATGAACTTTGCAAGGGCCTAAGAAGAGGGAGCTTGCAGGGAGGTTATAGTCCAACCACTTTGATGAGTCGTGGGTTTACACTGGTCCTCCTGCTCCTCCTCCTTCTCCTTCTCCTCATCATCACCATCACCATCATCATCAAAAGAACATCATCATCATCATCATCATCATCATCATCATCATCATCATCATCATCATCATCATCATCATCATCATCATCAGCATCAGCATCAGCATCAGCATCAGCATCAGCATCATCATCCTCATCCTAATCCTCACCCTCTTCCTCATCCACACCATCCTCCTCGTCCTCGTCGTCTCCATCCTTGTCCTGATCCCAATCCTCGTCCTCACTGTTATCATCACCCTCATCCGCATCCTCCTCATCCTCCTTCTCATCATCCTCCTTCTCCTCATCCCCATCCCCCGCCTATAAGCAGCCGCGCCGCCGTCAGAAGGACCGCCGCAGCTGCCGCCGCCGCCGCATCAGCTGCCGCCAGGGACCACAGGCGGCCGCTACGAGACGATTCCTGCATCTAAGACGAAACAAAGACGAAGACACACTCGGGCGAATAGAAATCGAGATTCGCCGAGATCCAGCGCCTCTGCAGATGTCTCGGGCGCCGCGGCCTTCTCAGAGCGATTCGAAACGCTCTGAGAGCGTACGGGACCGCTCTGGAACTAGAGGACTACTAGATGGGGTCGGAGTGGATGGGGTCGGGGGATCGCCCGGCATCGCTGATTCATCGGCGAAGCATCGGCGATGTATCGGCGATGCATCGGCGATGCACCGGCGATGCATCGTCGACGTGGGCGATGCATCGGCGACGTCGAGACGCCCCGGATTAGATTTACCCTCGTCCCAGCCCCATCCGAGCATCTCCGCAACGCCTTCGACGAGGCGCGGCTGATGGAAACCACAGCCAGCCACGAAGACCCATGAAAAACACACGACCGCCCCCAAGAATGTCCAGAGGCCTGCCGCCGCCGCCAACGCCGCCGCCGCCGTCGTCTCGTCGCCGTCGTCGTCGTCGTCGTGGTCGGGGTCGTTGTTGTCGTCGTCGTTGTCGTCGTCGTCGTCGCCGCCGCCGTCGTCGTCGTCGTCGTCGTCGTCGGCCGCGACGCCGCCGCCGCCGGCGCAACAGCAAGTCGGAGGCGCCTGGGCCCCACAGGCGGCGCCCGGGCCCCTGGCGCGGACAGCCAGCTTCAGGAAGTTCGGCCCGGGTCCCTCGCTGTCGGGGGCCACCTTGGCGGGGGCTCTGCCTAGTCTTTTTCGTCCGTCTCCACCCTCCCTCCCTCCCTCCCTCCCTCCCTCCCTCCCCCCACCTCCTACTCCTCCTCCTCCTCCTCCTCTTCCTCCTCCTCCTCCTCCTCCTCCTCCTCCTCCCCTGCTCCTCCTCTGGTGGTAATGATGATGGTGATGATCCCCCCTGCTCCTCCTCTTGTGGCTTCCCCCCCGCCACCCATCCCTCCCCCCCTAAGTCGCGGCAGCTTCGCTATCGATGGCGCTCAGTAAGCACCGTGCTGGCCCGGATGTCCATGCCTGTGGATAAATAGGCGCGGCATCTGCTTCTCGTTCCTGAAAAAGAGAATGCTTATGCCTGCTTGTGGACGGGCATCGGCATCCTTGGGTGGCTAGCTAGTCAGGGGAGCCTCGGGTAGTCGCACGAGCGCCTAGTTAGTGAGATTGAGTGGCCCCCACAAAACATAATAGATCCCACTACATCCCACTTACGACCCCACTAAATTCCATTTGAAACCGCCACATCTTCACTGGAGAACCCACTGAATCTTACTGAGTCTCACTAAACCATGATTTAAGAAGCTCTTTGGGTCGAACAGAAGCTCCCAACTTGGCTGCCTAAGCCTCCCACCCTTTCAAGTAGGATTTGGCTAGTTGTGCTGGACATCGAAAGCTTTGGCTGGCCCAGACGACCAGCCCCGTTGCGGGCGAGGCACTCTTCGACGGTTCCGGTGTCGAGGGGGTGCCGTGGTAGCTCGGATGCCCATCCCTGTCAGTGGACATGCATTGGCAGTGGCTCCTCGTGCCTAAGTATCGTGCCTAAGATTGGCACGCACATCTCTGTCGATGGACAGGCACGGGCATCCCGCCCTCGCTATGAGGGCACGAGAGTGCATATGGAGGCGAAACAAAGACCATGGTGTGCCTGGGGGAGGGTGGCACGATGCGTGAGGCGGGAGAGCGGGCAAGCTGTGCACCACACTCGATGTGCCCGCACACGCGGCACAGTCCGTGGCGCCCAGGGATTACTTCGAAGGAGGGGTGACCAAGGTCGAGCCCATGGTGCGGCCCATCTCAGACTGCGCCCCGAACCGAAGCGCGAGGGCCTCTGACACCGCCCCCAGCCCCCAGGAAGAGACCCTCCCAGCCCCCAGGAAGAGACCCGACACGCGGAGTCCAGCTGCAGCGGCGGCAAGGAAGCCCAGGGAAATCTCCCCAAGCTTTGCCGCGGTCGACTTTGAGCCTACAATGGTATTCGGAATGTACTCTTCGTTGCTACACTGTCCCATCGGGCACGAGGCTGAAGCTAAGCTTAGGTCGGGCATGTCCCCTGAAGGGGGGCTTTCGAGGACAGTATAACAAATATTCAAAACGAACTAAAACTATGCAGGCACAGTCACAAAAAGTCGTCCCCAAACAATGTTTTGACTATTTTTGGATATTCCTCCTGTAGAGGGACAAGCCCGACTTAATACAAGGGTCTTCAGAATTTACTCTGCCCCATCGGGCACGAGGTTCAAGCTAAGCCGTCGCACACGAGGCAGGGCATGGTGCTTGGACAATGCCGACAGGTTTGCTGCGGTAGCAAATCCCAACTTGTGATCCATAGTCGCCCTGTCCTCGAAAGGTGCACCAAGATGGTACACCAGGCCTCTGGTCATACCAACGGGATTAAGGCGCCCGTGAACCACATCGCTTCACGTTCCTCCTCCTCCTCCTCCTCCTCCTCCTCCTCCTCCTCCTCCTCCTCCTCCTCCCGCTCCCCCATGTGCTCCCCCTCCCCATCTCCCTCTTGCCCCTCACACGCTTACCCCATTCGTTCCTCATCCCCCTCCCCCTCCTTGCTCTCCCTCCTCCCCCCCCCCCGTCCACCCTGGCCCTCGCTCGCACACGGCCGAAGCCAAGGCCGGATGCCCACACCGCGGCCGAGCCCTGCAACGTCGGTGGGCCTCCGTGGGCAAACACCCCAAAACGGGCACGGCCGAGATGGGCACGGACAAAAAGGTGTGGGCAAGCTGCCCGACAGCAGATGCTGTCCACAACCGCCAACGGCCGCTGCTGGACGGGCGGCCCCTGTCGTCTCATGCGGACCGCGTGCGTGGCGACGGCGGCAACGAGCCCTGCCCAAAACGGGCCACAACTGCCGTAATGTGTGTGCCCCCCGCTGTCTTCCCGCCCTGGTCTTGCCGTCGATCGGACGTGCATTGCCCGTGCAGTGTTCGGTTCCGTGCGTGTTTTTTTGTTTGCCCGATGGTCCCGGGTGGTCCTCGATGGTTCTCGCTGAGAAAAAAAGTGCACACGTGCGAGAGATGCCAAGCAGTGTCGCCCGTGCCGGCCACAGAAGCTCAAGGCTGAGGGCCCCTGTTTAAGGGGCCCCAAGACACACACACACACACACACACAAATACACACAAATAAAGGTATTCACCAAATTTTCCCATATTTTCTGGGTGTCTGTCTTCCCCCCCCACTTCCCATACTTTCCAATATTTGCTGGAGGAATCGACGATTAATTGTGTCTGTGCTTCTCTCCCTCCTGACCTGTTCCTCCCCGCACAGCCTGCGAGGGAGCGGGCGGGCTCGGGCTCGTGGGAGCCGTGCGGCGGGCTCCGGACGTCGACGCGTCGTCGAATCTGGCTCGCGGCCCTCTTCCCCCCCGTTCCCCCTCGAGGGAGAGTCCTCCTCCTCCTCCTCCTCCTCCTCCTCC